CAGGAGTAGGTTGACCGCTTTTATATGAACCTCTACTTGAATCTCTTTTGGGTTCGTGCATGGGCAGGGGACAATAAGTTTAATACTTAGTTTCAGTTGTCAGTTATCATGCTTGAGTATCCAGTCTCACCTCATTATCCTGGATCCTGATAATCCAGATACCTAACTCTCCCATATGAATCTTGGTAGACTGTGAATTTGATTCCACTAAAACCTTGTCCACCATCCCACGATCCCTTGCTGCATTGGATAACTTGAAATTCTTCAGATTTTGGCTATCCAGGACAATGAGGTGTCACTGTATAAGATTATATTCTACTATCTCATTTGGAGTTTTACCTTTAATTCCTCACATAGTTAGTCTCCAATACTAGTTGTCAGCTATACCCTTTCAGTAGAATAGAACTTCCGCCACCAGGTAGGACAAATCTCGTGCCAACTCTTGGCTGAGACGCACGAGTACCATACCAGCGAACTCACTCTCCCCGTCATGTGCCATTAACCGAAGACTATTCTCTAGGTAACAAGAGGGCAAAAGGAAGAGAACCGTTAACCTGTTTCATACTCGTATAATACTCGTATTGGGACAGCTCAACTCCGCGGCCCACATTCTGAAGGGGGGTTGGTGCTAGCCCACCCGTCATATAACTACAACCCCGGTGTCCGCAGAACTACTTGCACCTGCCAAATTGCTCAAAAGACATCTTGGAAACATATGCTTTTCACCCTCATCGGTTGCAAAACCAATTAAATAAGTACCATATTGTTCCCCGGTTCGCCCTATCGGCAGGAGTCATAGCCACGCGACCGCTATCAATGATGCTCCACAACCGCAAACACTCCAGGAAATCATATGGACAAGTGATTGTAGCATCCCACAGGCAACTAACCAACAAGAACGTATGCAACCTCAATAGAAACGAGAGTACAGTTTAGACAACCGTCAAGAACCACCATCAAGAACCACATTGACCCGTCTCCAGTGCCCACTCCCTTCACCGCAAATTAAAAGCACCTCTCTCTACCTCCCTATTGCCCATTCCTCCAGCTTGGCGTGCGATACCTTCCCCAGCTGTCCGAACTTAAGAAGAAGGATATTGGTTACAATGTTGCAAAGGATCGATAATCCATTGAATGCATCCGCTCTCCTTGCACCTATTGCCAGCATTAGCCCGCCCGTAACTCATGTAGATATGCAGCCGACTGGGCAAACAAAGGGAAATAACGAAACATACAGTTCAATCTGCTTGATGTACTCCTTTGAGCAGTCCGGATACTTTCCTGCACGGTTGCACGGGTGGTAGGCATTATCACACGGTATCTTCACTTTCGGGACCGCCGTGGCACCGGTGATAGCCGTGAGGAGGGCAACGCAGAGTACGTGCTTGAACTGCATTCTTGTTTTTCTCGGACGTTTGGCGGGAACAAGGTGGTTAAAGTGGGATGTTAGATCTTGTGAGTATTCCGAGATCAGGATGGATAGAGTGAAGGCAGCGTGGTGTTCCTACAGTTGTGAATGCGATGGTGTTGGTCAAGAGTACCATACGGTAGGAGAGGTGAATAAGGGAGGCGACAGAGTCTTATATACTTATTCCCTGGCGGGAGTAGGTATGATGTAGTACCGGAAAGGAGAGTACCAGAAAGTGATATCATGTGCCTGCCCCCCTCTCCTGTAGTACCGGTATTTGGGCATCCATTCGGCCACACCACCCTTTCATCAGCCAGAACCAGAATATGTGAACACCGCCAACGCCTTCGATTCCCACAACCCGCACTTCTATCCTCCCTTTCTCTGCCCCCCCCCCCCCCCCCTTTCCCCCCTTCGTATTCTTTCTCCTAACCAGACAACCATACCAGACCGCACCCTTCCCGGTCTTAACAAAACATTCCGAGGGCAAGGCATGTGCAGTGAGTAACCTCCCTTCCAGAGCCAACTTGTGCTTATCCCCTATGCCAAGAACCTACGCCACGGTACAGCACCCAAAGCGTCCTCACCGTCCCTACCAGCTATCAATTACTCTGTTACACAAGACGAGGCATTGCACCCTGCGAATTGTGTTGAACCCCTTGAAATAGACACGGAAATGAGAGCTACCCTCAAGGGCTGAAGTTTAGCAAGAACAGGGGAGTATCTCATCAGCTGAAGTAATAATATGAAATGAATTCTGTAAGTATCGAAGAGTGCTTTGGATGGTTCTTGTTTAGCTAGTTCGCTTTTGTTATTATTGTTTGATTGGTTGGTCCGCTGGTCACACAAAGGCGGGTTAAATTAATATCAATCCCACCTGTCAACGGTGCGGACCCGGTAACACTGGCATCTGGCTAGCCGGGTTTTGATGAACTATTACTCATGCACTGTGCAGTGCACTACACTCCCACATGACGGGGAAAGCCAACACCGGAACTAAATATATCACACTCTCCCTCCATCGTGAGCAGAAATATGTCAGGCCAACAAGTATGGTGCACTATAGCATACCGTATAATACTCCTTTTCAGCACCGTATCTAAATACGCTTTTTAGGAAATGGTATCCGTGCTCTCATCCGATGCACCAGAACGGTGTTCCCCAGCACTTGCCAATTGCACTACCGTACTGGACCAATTAGGGATATTGGGCCCTAGATTGTTATCGAATAGAAAAGCCCTGACCAGTCCACCGGAAAACGACGGCTGAGCTTTCGGTCCTCCCTGTCGGCGGGTCACACAGCTCACTAGTAATCGCTTCCCTCGTGGCACAAGAGCTCAGTACTTGTGTCGACATGGGATGATGTCTATCCGCAGATAGTGGGCAGTGCTGGGAGATTTACAACACACTTCATCCCGAATTCGGATCCCCCGGACACATCCAAATGTAGCAATCCAGCTCGCCTCCGCCAATCACCACATACCTGCACTTGAGTACGAGTAGAACTAAACCTCGCCCTCCGCCAGCAATAAAACCTCCTCCCCCACAAAGATCGTCAAGTGAAATTCATGAACGGTTAGCTCTTTGCTCCCGCTGGGCATGGGCGTCCGCCATGCTATATTACCTAGCATGCGCAGAAGCCCACAACCCACAACCTTTAGCATCCCGTTGACAGAGGAATACCTTCGCTTCCTGACCGGAACCCTTCCCGGAGCCCTGGTTTTTGACAGCCCTGTTTAGGAATTTCGATCCTCTCCTCAAAGACGTGGCCGGAGCGGCTGACGTTTCCTACCCGAGAACTTCTAGCCTTGTGTAAATCCGATCCTATTTTGGCTCCGGACATGTCTCGGCGTAAGATGTGTTTGCACAACTGCTGAGAATAAGAGAATACGAATTATAACCAGAGACTATGATGTGAGTAAAAATTGGAAAGCACGTACCCGTTTATCGAGCCAAGGGTTAGTGCTCGGTCCAGTTTCCAAGCTCTCTGGGTTCTCCGACCTGTTACAACAATACCGTACTGTGCAGTTTTGCCTGAAGAGTCCTAGTGCGGTCCATGGCAGCCCCAACTCAACGTTACCTCCACCTTCACCTTAAGTTTCCTATTAAATTTATACCAAGGTTCCAAGCGTTTATTTTATTTTGCTCGATCATTGTTTCATCGTTTAAGGTGCAAGAATATTGCAAGCAGGAAAACCTATGGCATGAACAGCTATAAACAAAAACCAGACAAAAAAGAAACCAATCAAACAAGATCATGGAAATCCTATACGTAAGGGGATCAACAAGGCCAGATACACCAACATGCCTAACGAATAAAAGTAATAAAACCTAGGCCAGTAACCTACCCTATGTTTCGAACGGAGGAGAAATCACTTAGTAGAAGAAAAGTCACCGATCATAACTTAAACAAAGAGGAGGAACGTGAGCAGTCAGATGGACAGGGGGGAAAGGCACGGATCATGACCGGAGGATAGCTAGTACAGGTAGCTACAATACTATCGTATATCATGTGGGAGATAGTGTAGTATTCTCATTGGTATATCAGACGGACTCACAACCGATACTAGTGATCCCCAGAATATGGATTGCACACTCATCACCCCGGGCTGAACATCATAGGATGACATGGGGGAGGCCTTCGCCTTGCTCTTCACACCAGGGATAGGTGGTAGGGAGATAGATCCCTTGTGAGCCCCAATTAATTATAAAAATATAATACATGGAAAAATTTAGGGCCACTGATATTCAGCAGTAGTACGCGAGCAGGGGCCGTTGTCTAGCATGTCATTATTTTTGCCCCAAACTATCCATACACTCGTACAAGTAACATACACAAAATACACCATGTGTCACTCATTACCGCACTCTACCTGTAGCTCGAAAATCCCACCCTACTCCTATCTATTCTACTCGAGTATCCCTACCGATATCCCCGCGAAAACTACTCGTAGAATCTATCAGTATAGCTCAGAGCCCAAGAAATATGAATCCTACTCCCTCAAGAAAATGATTACGTCAACCGATCAATCATCCACCCGAGAATTTTTCACAAATCAACTTCACAACTAGACTAACCCGGCGAGAGACCCTCTGCTATAAGAACTCCCACCCCAGCAATCCGCAATACTCGAGCACTTGACGGAGATGGTGGAAGATCGGGTAGTTCGAGATTGATATCTATGATATTCTTGGCTGAGAACCGCCAACACATAGCAGAGCCCAACAGTACAGTATACCTCACCCCCGGAATCCGGAACAAACAAGAAATGTAGCCTTCCGGACTCGAGCGACCACGGACAACGGTAAAATATTAAGCCAGAGCCGCCTGGCACACAGTTCTGGCGCTGAACGATAAAGCAAAGCTGATCTGCTTAACCCCGCGACAAACCCGGCCAGTCCCGTGGAGATGACCATAGGGTCAAAAAAAATTGTTCTCCATCCCTGATGTGCGGTATTCGTTGTTGTTTCCCCTTTCTACCTCTCCTGGGATGGCGGTACGAACGGGTGGGCGGGGAGAGTAGGCGTGCTCTGGAAGGGATTCAGCAAAGTGTGGATACGCTGGGAATGAGGAATGGGGCAGGTAGGGGCAAGGAGATGACATTGGTGGGGTTTTTATCATTGATTCTTGGGGTTGGTTGGAGAGCAGGAGGTTATAGCGTCGATCCCGGAATACGGCACTGAACTGGAGGAAGGGTAGGAGTATGAGGGAGTGTGGGGGAGCATGGGGGAGCATGGGGGAGTATGGGAGAGTGGTGGGGACGAGACGTGATTTTGATGACCTGCGGTGGTAGGGTAGTTTATGAGAGTTGGGGGCCATATGTCGGAAGGGGGTACGGTGGATGCTGGGTTTGGTTGGGCATAGATATGACAGCTTACTACGGCAGCCGATCATTGCGGAAGATCGGAGGTCTCATGCCAGCAGTAGATATTTGTGTTTCGGCGGCCCCGCGTCCAAATGTATTTTTATTCAACAGACCACGGCCAAGGTTTGGATGACCCTACAGGAGGGCAGTCAGGCGGGAATCAGGGCATGTTCACTCGCTTCCCAACATATCTGAATCGTAGCCCCCGCCCCCGAGCCTGCATATCATATGCGCAATCCTATCCACCCACGCCTCCTCAGATATTGACACCTCCTACGCTTAGGTTAAAAAGCAACCTCTGCAACATATATACTATAACCCGCCTGACAAGCTTCACAATACCACACCCTAACACTCAACGACAACATACCCCTCGCCAACATCCTCAAGAACACTCTTCACCTTCTCCAACCCCCAAATCACCTTCTCCTCCTCGAACCTGCGCGCCACAATCTGTACCCCTACGGGCAGTCCATGCATTTTGTCTGCGTCGTAGTCCTTATAAGCACTCCTCGCAACGGTATTGCTATTAATTTTGAACCCGGGTGTTAGAGCGTCTTTCTCTTTGTCGACTCTGGTTACCGGGAGGACGCCAGCAGCGTAGTCCATCTATTCACTTTATCAATTCTGCTGGTGCGGGGCTAGGGAGGGGGGGGCAGGTATACCAGGCTCCAAATCAAAGTGTAGGAACAATTAACGAATGCGTTCTTCCCACCACCATGTGGTATAGCCGGGAGCGGATTCGGTACACAAACGATAAAGTCCAGTTCATTCTCGCTCCAAAACTTATCCCATTCAGCACGTATTCTCTCCCTCTTCGAGACAAGCTTCCACTGATCCACGGACGAGGTTGGACTCCAGTCTTTGATCAATGCGGCCCAGATCTCGTCCCGCTTTAGGTACTTTACAAAAGCCCAGTGCAGGAACTTGACCCAGCGGGGGAGAGAGAAGTATCTTGATACTAGGCGCATCCCCGAATCGTTGGATTCGAAGAAGGATTGGAAGTGGCTGGAAAAGGTGGAGCCACCATCGGAATACAGGAGGCGGGAGGCGGTGCACAGGGATTCAAGGACGGAGGGGTTATTGTCGCTAACTCTGTCAGCCAGCGTAAATGTAGTGCAGGGAATAGGGACTCACAGTTCGACAACCTCCTGCGCTTGAGACTTGAGCGCTATTATAACATTATCTAATGCGCGATTGCAAGCAGGGCTTGGAGTAACAATCCCGTCGTCTCGCAGCACTCCCCAGCGAACCCTCTTGCCCCCCATCTCGTCGCGCACGTCGCGCCATGGAAGGGGGATAACGTGGTAATCGTAGGTCCAGGGCTTCATGTCGATAACCGTCTTCAAAAAGAAGCTCAGATCCTCCATTGTCTTGGCCATAGGAGAGTAAACCGCCGTAACGCCTTCCTGTCCGGCCATCGATGTCGCATTCCCAGATCTTGGGAACCTCCCGACGGAGCAACGGATAGCATAGACACCCGAGTAATGTGCGGGTACCCGTACGCTCCCCGCGACATCTGTGCCCACACCGATTCTGCTCCCGCCTAATGCTATCAGCGCTGCCTCCCCGCCGCTGGACCCGCCAGGCGAGTACCCTCTGACATGTGGGTTTTCTGTAGTTCCCCATACCTGCACTTGATCAGCCCCCACACACATCGCTTGAATAATGATGGACGGATAGGCACATCATTAGAGCTTTCAAAACTCATCAAGGTAACGGGAACATTCGTCTTTACGAACGGCACAGCCCCCGCATCTTTCAATAGTCGAACAATCGATGCATCGTGGTTTACCGGATTATTCGCATGTTTGGAATACCCAATACACGAATCATAACCCTTAACATTCACCGTATCCTTCAAGCTAACGGGAATCCCGGCAAGCGGACCATTCAGATTAACCCTGCTATTGGCATCGCCACCGCTCTCTAATGAATGTCCCAGCCACTCCTCCGCATCCAAGATTACAACTTCCGTTAGGCAATTTGTCCTTTCGTGGGCGTTTACCGCTTGCTTCCCGTATGCCCTCAGGATATCGATCGGTTTCCATTCCCCTTTGCGTACGAGCCTCGCAGCGTCTTCAACCGGAGTGTTGAGTATTTCACGGTCATGCTGCTCGAGCTGGGAGTGGTAAATTGGCGGAAGGTTTGCGATTGCAGTTTCGCGTGCCGCTTTCTTGTTTTTACTATCGTTTGCTATTAGCGAGTGATATGGTATGAGGATAGAAGTGCTACAGAGGCAAATGCTTTTCTCACCAAGTGCGGCGGTGGGCAAGATATGTCATCAGAGACATTTGAGACGATCCTCCACGGTGGGGGTGATGAGGAATGGATTAAAGGAGATGGGTTGTTTAAATGGGGGGGAGATGTGGGAAGAAGGAGGGGGAGTGGCGTGGGGTATTGGTTGGCCGGACGCTTTCTATCGGATTGTGGAGAATACTGCAGATGATCAGATAAGGACGGCAAGGGCCAGGGTTCAAGCACCCATAGTGGGGTGGAACTGATGTCCCGGGAGGGGAGCACTGCGATACACCTCCATGGCGAACGAACTTGGTATCATGCTAGGGCCGGTAGGGATTGGCATTATATTTATACGTGTTTGTACTCGTAGGATACTGTATAAACACGATATTTTATTTTTAAAGACGTACGTACTTTACCGTATTCAATCCTGCATGTAGGAAAATAGTGGCTAAGGAGCATACCTTTCTTGCAGGTTCAACGGGAAGGATTTTGAATGCATGCATTATGAAGCCATAAATCCTCGATTCGTCCAATAGTTAGTCACTGCCTAAAATGAGGGTAATATCATTTCTGCTAGATAGCCGATTGGAAAAAGTGAGCACACATCGTGAAGCTTTTCAAGCTATGCTCCGGTCCTTTTACTATCTAGAGCAGATTTTAGCATTCAGGGCTCGTGTTTCTGGGTAAAGATTTTAGGGTATGCATGCATTGCATTAGATTTAGGACGAAAAACACGGTATAATATTATCATAGTACACGTATTTTACCTACCCCCAGGGGTTGGTAGGTTGTCCGGCGAGGAAGCCCGTACTGCACGAGCATAACACAAGGAGAACACGCGAAGAGTAAAACGCCCGGTGGCTGTTGGCCAACCTTTGATGCCACGTTGGCGCAGTAGGGGCCTCCCTCCAATACGCTATTTTACTCCCCCGCTCCACTCACAACCACGAAAAGTCGACTAAGGGCACCTCAGACCGCAGAGGGGAATACGATGCCTCAAAGATCAATAAAAATAACAATATGACCTCTGCCGGAGACAATCGATACACCCCGAGCCCTGAAGATAACATCGACACTAATCACTCGTGAGCTAAATTAAGCCAGACAACCCGCCCATCCGACAACGCTCCAGAAAAATAAGAAGCCGACGCCTATTCCCGTTCGACACCATGGCCTTGTCGAGTCGTTTGAGATCACCGTCAAGTTGAGCCCACGGCGCTCGGTGGCTGTCACTGTCCGCGTCGTTGTAGCGGTCCAGGTTGAAGATCCTGTTGTGAAGGTTTGGGTGGCTGTTACGGTCGAGGTTATTACTATTGTTGTGAAGGAGGAAAGGAGTGTCGGCGGGATGATTGGTGGGGTTGTTGGCGATGGGGAGGTTAGAGTTGGGGTTGGAGTTGGGAGAGTTAGAATTGGCGATGTGGGATCGCTAGTTCGAGTGGGTAGAGGTGAGATTGATTGTGAGAATGAAGGTGAAAGGGAAGAAGATGGCGGTTGGGAAGACGGCGATAACGACGGGAATGACATTAGAGGTGGTGAGATTGCAGACGTCGACTCGAGCGTGCAAGTATTCAAACTCGTGGGCTGTTGTATAATTTGAGGGTTAGCGGTCCTATCATTCCCTCACTCTTAAGGAACACACTTGTAAACGAACCTCACCCACAGTCCCACTGGACCTCGTCATCCCCATCCCCAAAGTCCCACTACCCAGGGTCCCTCCACTCCCCGTCTGCCTCTCGTTCGGCAAGCTATCACATCCCATCCTGATCATGTCCTCGCAAACCTCACTCCTCCACTCTTCGCAAGTCGACTCGATCAAGTTATTCGGACCCGTAACCCCCAAGCAAGCCCTAAAGGTATCCATACATTCGCTATAGAACGCCCTGCACTGAGCCTGGGTCGTAAAGATGGCCGTAGCAGCTGGTGGGGCCGGAAACATGAATTGGCAGGTCGCCTGAGGAAGGAGGAAATTCCCAATGACCAGCAGACGGAATAGCACCACGCGCTTCCGACGTGACGGGTGGTAGATGGCGTGCATGGCTGAATCTTTGGGTGGTAACGGCTAGCGTTATGAAAGCTGGGAAAGGGAGAGGTAAGGATGGATGGGTGTCTGGAGAACAGGGCAAAGGGTAAAGGAGAAGTGGAGGTCTACGAAATAAATAATCCAGCTATGATAGCCCATGAACCCAATCTACACCAGCAGGAAGGAGGAAGGACCACCACGAGTCTAGGAGGGAGAGACAGGGCAGTAAGGAAAGAGGGTAGGGACAGAAACGCCAACCCAACGGCGTGAAAAAACAAGGGGGGATGGGAAAAGAAAGAGAGGAAAAGATGGAGTGAAAAAAAAAAGTAACAGAGACAGAAAATATACTTGTGCCGGCCAAATCAAGTCAATGAGTCCTCCCTCCATCGTTAGGCAGCGGGCCCGGTAAAGCGACAACTGCGACATCAATGCCGGCCCAGTTGAAACTCTACAGATCTCATGCTCAGCAGGCCGGATTGGTTGGCGTTGGATGTTCCCACTCCTGCCAAGGGAGACAATAGCTTGCGGGCATGATAGGTTCCCCCGCACCAGTGTGCAGGAGCAGAGGTAGCCCAAGGCAATCCGGGCATTCGGACCGTCTTCTAGATTGAACTAGATGTAGAGTTGCGAGTCCCATGGCATTATCCGGATGGGCTATGGTTAGGTTGAAGAGGGTTTCTGGGGGAAAATGTGTACCGTAGATTGTAGAGGACGATGGATGACATAGCAGTATCAATGTACTCTACAAGTACACTTTCCTTCTAGCGGAGGCACCGAGCGGCCCTGGCTCAACGGTGGGAAGGCGGATTCCTTGAGCACCGAAGGGGAGGTGGTGCTGGAGTTTTCTGAGGGAATCACGCTGGGGGGTGAAACGGGGGGCCGTCGCGCATTGGGTTTTTGATGGTGAAGCCCGGCCATGGGGCCCTGGCGATTGTGAGATGCGGGCGATTTAATTAGTAACCTTATCAAATCTGAGTGGGTAAGGGCCAGTGTTCGAGCATTGTGAGGTACTGAGCGCGAGTACTCATACAGTGGGACGGGCAAAGGAGGTTCAGTGTTTGAGTGCGAGAGCATGTATGCCCGGACAAGTAGAGTACTGGGGTGCAGTAGATGTTTGGTCGGAGGTCTACGAGAGAAGAGATCAGGGACTGGGTTCCCAGGAGGGGCTGTGGTGAATTCCTATTGGTGCACACACCCAAAGCCGTGGATAGCCAACAATGCTCGTACGTACTGTACAGTACGGTAGGATTGTCCCGGCCTCATCCCTAGCCCGCAGGGTGGCGATTCGACGAAGCTCGCGTGGATAGTCTACGATACAAGTATACAGCAAGAAATACCTGAACACAGGGATTAAATATTTGTATGGCAGATCGTCTGTGCGTGTCTGTGCCCGTCTGAGCGCCTATACCAAATTCTGACGGGATCCGACACGCCATGTTCAGGTATTTCTTGTGGTATACCTGTACGAGGGGGGCATGGCCTGCAGCACGCACGATACTGGAGTACAGTGCCGAGATACAATTACCGTAGTGTGCTCGCCGCCACAGACGGTAGACTACTCGAGTACTCGCACTGCATGTTTGCTTCATGCCTACTCGAGTATGCATCTCTCCCCCGGAGACGATAGTCTCCTGCAATACGGTAAGCTACGCCCAACCAAGAATATTGTATCCTCTTCCCCTTTGCCTTGACTCCTGACTCTCGCCTCTTTCCCTTTCCCTCCCCAATCCTGAACCCCTCCTGTTGATCTTGCCTTAACCTTACAATAGACATAAGATACAAACACACTCCGCCTTGCCTCTTTCACCATAGTTCGCTCCTTCCGCCCTCTTGATCTGTCGGTCGGAATATTCCCAAAACCGGGACCTTCCCTCCCGCCACAAACACCTCGAAACCAACTTCCCCTCTCAGATGTGCCGCTGCGAGGCGAGAAATAGTCTCCCAGGCTCGTGACCCGTGACCAGACACGCCGTAGCACTTGTACTAGTACTCGTACTGCAACACATACGGTCCTCGTACAGTGCAAGTGGAGGAGTCCTTGGAGTTCCGAAACCTCCACAACCACACTTATTTCGCTTATTTCCTCGCTACTCGTACTGGAAACCCTCCATTGAATGTGCGTGGTGTTTCGGGAATAGAAGCCTCGTGTTGATTTCTTGCGCCCCGAGGGAAAAAAAATTGCAAAAAGATAAAGCTAAACTTATTGCCACCCCCCTGCACCGTCGGTACAGTCGCGACCCCCTTCATCCCTCATCTCCCAGAATATCCCTACTCTACAGGAAGAGCCCCCCCTACACACACACACACAACAGCACATACGCCGCAAACACCTTTCGAAACTTGGAGCTACCGACTAGACTTTTGATTCCCGCCTTCACGGAGATATCCTCAGCCTCGAGTATGGAATCATCGCAAACACAAGCACAAGCTCAGCCTCCACTCCCGCCTTTACCCCCCTTACCTCCTCCCGCGCCTATACATCACCCCCGACATTCAAGTAACGGTCTGATTCAGCCCCCGCCTCCACACCTCTCGCGGCGAAATAGTAACCATGGCTCGGCGTCCTCACATAGCTCCTCGTCGCCGTCTCCTCATCGGAGAATGCCATCGAGACGGCAAACGAGCGAGCTGATCCTTCCGGAATGGCAGCCGGACGAAGGCGCGAACCGGTGTCCCATCTGTCATAACGCGTTCACATTCTTCAACCGAAGACACCATTGCAGGTATGGGCGTTCATGTATCTCTTCTCGGTGTGGCGGTTCCGTCGGCTCAGTTGATGTTTAGGAAATGCGGACGAGTAGTGTGTAATCCCTGCTCACCCCACCGAATCACCATCCCGAAAGCCTTCGTCGTCCATCCCACTTCACAGACCCCATGCTACGAGCCTCTTGCCTCGCGTGTGCCGGATAGTCCCGGGGATGCCGATTACGAGGACAACCAAGTGAGGCAAGGGAGGATCACGATCACAGCTGGACCAGCTTCTCAGTCGTTTATTTGGAATTCGAGCTCCGGGGATGAAGATGAAGGGATGCAAGTGCGGATCTGCGAGCAGTGTCTTGGCAGGAGACCATCGGATTCGCACCACAGCCCGGGGAGGGGCGCTCCCGGGCCGATCCCCGGGGGCAACGGGGGTGGGGGGTGGGTGAGCGGTTTTCTTGGAGGGGACAGCGGAGGGATGGGCGTTCCGACTCCACCCCCGGGTAGTAGAGATGTAAACCGACGACGAAGGCAGAATGTAAACTACTCCTTGGAGCTATGGGGGGACTAGGCTGACATTCCCGCAGTTCCAAGGTGGAAGGTCCCTTCCGCACATACACCACGCCGCCATGTCCCCCAGTTCCCGATCAGCGTACACGAACTACCAAGCTCCTCCAGCGCATCACTACTACTCTTCTGCATCCTCATCGAGCTCCCTTCCGTCCCGTCGTGGCCAGCAACCGCACTACCCCCCCGCGCACTACCACCCTCCACAGCACTCCCGAAGTAGTAGCCAAAATGTGCCAACTCACCCGCGCCTCAAGGAGACCGACTATTGTCCAATCTGTACGCACCCACTCCCGCCAGTGGATCCAAACGGAAGTGAGGACGCAAGAGAGGAACACATCCAATCCTGCATTCGTGCCGTTGAGTCCTCGGCATCTCCCGCCAATACCCCGACCACTGGAGCCCCTGCCGGCACCCCCAACCCCAACCCCCCCGGAACAATTCGTCCACGGAGATACACCGGTGGTGGCCGCATGGTTGTGTGGAAAGCGAGTGAAAAGGACACTTGGGCATCCGGGGGGGAAGCTGACGAGAAGAAAGGTGAAAGCGAGGGCGATGAGCGGGAGAAGGCAGAATGTGTAATCTGTTTTGAAGAGTTCGAGGTTGGGGACGTGATTGCCCGGTTGGAGTGTTTGTGTCGGTATCATAAGGTAACCTCCTCCCCCTGCTCTCGCCAGATGAATAACTAACAAGAGCACAACAGAGATGCATCCGAATGTGGTTCGAAAAGAAAGGGAACGGCGAGTGTCCTGTACACGCTGTTCATGAGTGATAGACCTCTTCATTCATTCATTCATTCATTCATTCATTCATTCGTTCGTTCGTTGTTTCACGACTGGCTCCCTGCTAGCTCACTAAACCTAGGCGCAGGATCATCATGATCACAATCTATTTATTTCTCATCTCCCCTTCCTTGTTGGCCCCCTTACCGTGCCCCCGTGTGCTTACGCTAGCCGATTTGGTGAGAGTCGCACTCTTTTGCTCATGCGTTCGTTCGTTCACCGGGTGGTTTTGCAGGCGGTTGGGCGGGTAGTTGAATAGCGTGTTTCGGCCTTTTGTTTCTTTTCTTGTTTCTCCGGTAAAGGTGTGTATGAAGATATGTGTGAGCGGTTCACCTGTTGGATGTAGCGTACATTAGCTTGTATGGGTAGAGTGTTCACGAGAAGACGAACTGGGGAGGAAGTGGTGGGGATTAGCATGTAAATGATAGGAGTGGGCTAGGGTTGGATAGGGCGGGATGTGTCGCTGATTGTTGTAATCTCGGCATTTGTTATAAATTGAAGCATGGGCTATGTATTAACATGGTGGTCGAATATGGAATTTTAAAAGAGTATCGGGCGGATCAGGAGATTAGAAGGTGTGGGGGCGGTAATATAAGTGGCCTAGGGGGTGAATGATGGGTTTCGGGGACCAGATCGTGGTGTGATGACCTATTAGTCACAGCCAAGCACTCGATTTTACCTTTCCCATGACGCTTGCTACCTTCGGAAAACCGGGCTATCCATCGCATAACTCTCCACCTCGAGTGTTGTACAGTACTAGGACCAAAATATTTCTGAAAACTCATCGTAGGTGGCAATCCCACAACGTCAACCCACAACTTCGATTGCTAGAATTCCACCCAAAACAAAAGAGAAAACTCCCGGAATTGGGCACCTGTGAGACATTGAGAAAGGAGAAATTATTGGACTGTGGAATGTCTACCAAAGCATGGCAAATATCTTGGCACTCTTGACATATCCAAGAAAGGACTTGCTTGTATGATAGTTTATCCAGTGGTGGCAGCAAAGAAATGACCACCATGATCATTCAATACCTGGGCTGTTACTCATAGAAGCGTAATCGGTGCGGCACATGACTAAATGCATAAGGTCATGTGTTCGACCCTGTGCCCTGCCGTAGTTATCGTGACGATATCTCATTATTGCACGAAAAGGCATCTATGCAGCCCGCTCCGCGGAAATATGAGGCATGCGACTGAGGGGTTTTCACTGGATAACATAGAAGGAGCTCCGCTCTATAACATAAGACTTGGTTGAACCAGAATGGTCAGTTAGTTATTGAGCTATCGCCTCTGCAAGTCTGAGTGTCGTTACTACCAATGATATGAGTGGTAACGAACACGACGCTTCGCTCGCGTGTACCAGGAGTCATCCGGAGACTAGTTACGATTGGTTAATAACAACTTAATAGTTGAGTTAGTTATCTGCGTCATGCACTCTAAGCTATGCACATAGAGGAGTCATTGATAAGTCCTTTGACGGAGTTGATCAGTCCACTTAGGAAGAGAGCAAGGAAGTTAGTTTTCAGGGTCAAACGGGGTTCGCACTCCTTGGACACCGAATCGTTAGTATGGCAGGTACATAGTCAGGAAGAGATTGGATGTAGGCCTGACCACCCAGATGTGGACTCTAAAAATTGGTGTGCCTCCCTAGCTTCAAGTCCATCCTCCGTCTCTGCTACACCTCCGGCGATTGAAAACTCAACACCATGGTTACTATCGTGGCTTTCATCGTCTAGCGCCACCATCCCCCCCCCCATCTCCCTCCATCTAGCCTCGGCTACAGGGGGTGGGCTCGCTCCCCCTCTCCCTTGGGGTCCTGATTTATTTCTTGATTCCCTTGGTTCCATCCCTGGTTGAGGCCTCTCATCTTCATGATGTTTCCCCTCTTCCTACCCCACCTCGGTTAGGCGTCGGCACGGTCGGCAACCCCTTTTCCACCTTCAACCGACGGCTGGGACTACAGTTGCAGTAGGAGAGAACAGCTTACAGGCTACGGTCGATCTCTCCATTCTCTTGCCCCCCGTAAGAGGCTGCCTAGTTGGACACTAACGCTGTTACCGATAGTTGTCATCCACGGAATTGGGTCTACCCCTCCTCTACTCTTTGGGGCCTCTTTGGCTAGCAGGTGGTGGGATCCCTTCCACTACAGTGACGCTATCTCTCCCAGAACAAGGGACTACATGAGAGACGTGGTAAAACACCTGCTTCGCTTAGGGCTCCTCTACGGTCAGATCGGCTGGCACCCTGCTGCCACCTCCTCTCACGCTAGCACCTTACTGCCTCAATCGTCGGTTGTCCCGGAGGACACACGGTCGCTGGCACACCTGCCACACACCTCCTCTCCTCACTTCTCGGTCGCCGCCTTCGGGGTGGTTTCCCTTATACCCAATGCGCCCGGGGCTTCGGCTTCCTCCTCCTGGCCCTCATCATATGGCCTAGGGGTTCCTATGATGGATTTGAGTTGTGGCCATTGGCCCTTAGTGGTTCGGTTTGGGTTTCTGCCTTTAGGTGTTTCGTTCTTGGGGTTTGGCGTGTTCTTGGTTCACTGTTGGGTAGCTAGCTTTCTTTTGTCCCTTGGCGGTGGGGGTTCTTGGTTCGTAGTTGATGGGAAGGATTTCAGGCGGGAGTAGTTTTTTCTACCCCGGAGGGTCTGTTTAGCTCTGTCGTTCGGCCTGGTCCGGGGGGGGGCAGTTTTTTAGGCCTCATAGCTAGCGCTCCACAGGCCGTTTTTGTCCCATAAACAAAATACAAAATAAGTCAAACAAAAAAACAAAATCCCTAGCTTTAAGTCTATCATCAGTGACCGGAGAAGAGATCTTATCAATATATTTGTTCTACTTCACTTCTATCTTAACGAGCCTTTTTGACTTTCTCTGAGACAGAAGATTATAGGGCCTAGTATATACTTGCTTGACCTTAGAGTTACCTACCCCCTAACACTATATTGATAACCTCTGGTTACCAAGGCTCTTTGAATGATACCAATAAGACCACAAGCTCAAATAGTGGACTTTGAAGTATTACCCGAGACCTACATCTTCGAATGGACGATTCACCCCATCAAAAACCCCTTTGACACAATCAATTTTGTCCTCTGGGAAACAGATTTACCAGACATTCCCTTATTCGAAGAACACGAACCATCTTGGTTCACATACACCGAAGCGTGGTTAGAACCTGGTTTCTTCCACTACTACTTCAACAACCCTGACTGGGAACCTTATCAGGAACCCATCTGCGATACAACGTACCACGGTACAACTTTCGTCCTCTGCCATGACGAAGGAGGATACGAGGGATCCTTGGCTCCTTGGGTGTTGGAAATCGAGCTCAAACACCAACGCGAACTAAACAAGGCACAATATGTCAGACATACCTCGAATAACGGCAAGCGGTAAACCCACAGATACTGAAATGGAAGAACCCACGGGATCTCCATTTGGAATGAGAGGATGGAATCCACGGACGATCAGAGGCCTCTTCCCTAAAGATCCACCATCATCCAGTACATCCTCACCCTTTTGCTTAGGTCAATCTCAGAGACCGAAGCCAGTAACGGATGAGGAACGATTCAAAAACTTTGCAACCTTAGTAGGAAGAGTAACGGCCCAATTGGACCGGACTATTACTCAGACCCAAAATGACCAACAGGTCCCCTATGTGGCCTTAATGGACGCTAGAAAAGGACTTGCGGACGAGCTAGCTGGCGTCAAGAAAAGAGTGGACCAAGGCAAGAAGTTCTTGGGAGATGAACTGACTCGATTGGAAAGAGTAGCCCAAGGACTAGAAGGGGATGTAACGGCTGAGCTGGAAAGCTACCATTTAAGGGTAGCAGAGGAATTGGTGAGGGCTAATCTAGCGGCCCAAGAGCAGTCTAGGAAAACTGCCAGGTTGGAATAGGAAGGCTTTGAGAGAAGCACGGATGCTATGGAACGGGACAACACTCTGGCAGCTATGATTGAAGAGCTGCAAGAACAGAGACGAGTGGACTGCCAAGCTATGGAAAAGCTACAAGCCAATGAAGCTAAGCAACATAAGGATTTGACTGAAACCCTCAACGATAAGCAAACCGAGTATGTTAATAATATTAACGAACATCGAATCGGTTTTAAAGATGTGCTAAAGCGCCAAGACCGAGAAACTAAGGCTTTGACAGAAAAAATGACCAAGTTCCAAAACGTCATCCAACAGGACATAGGCTATTTGAAGGAAGATTTAGGAGGATTAATCGCTGATGGATTAACCATTGTCCTGGAAAAACAGTTTGGAAAGGCAAACCAAAACCTTCCTGGTCCAATGGAGACAAGCTTTCTTCTCCTACCTCTGAAAAGCATATTTGGAGGAGCTTCTTATGCTGGAACTGTCCCTGAAATGGAAACGGACCACAACAGTGCTTATGCACCACCCCCAGTCCCTCCAAAAAAGGATCCTAATGGTGGTAATAGACCTTCACGTCCACCTAGTGAAAATGAAGACACTGGGGAGGGACCCTCAGGACCTGGTGGAGGTGGTGGACCCCCTGGTGGAGGCGGTGGACCTCCTGGTGGAGGCCGTGGACCCCCTGGTGGAGGCCGTGGACCTCAAGGAGGAGGTGGACTATTTTGTTGAGCAAGGCCACAAGGAGGAGTGGACGAGGTCACCGAGATGCTGTCATGAGCAGTAGTTCGACCGGTGAGGAAGCCTGCCGAATTACCTCCCTTCTTTGAGAATAAGAAGTGGCAAATGATCGAAGGTTGGATTACTTCCTGCGAGGATTACGTTAGGTGAAATCCTCTACATTGGAAACAAGATCACGACAAGATCATGTGCGCAATGGGAAGGACAAAGGGTCCAGATGTGGCTCCATTCATAGAATGGTATAGGAATGTCATGGATGGTCTGGCCAGTTACGAGAGGAGAGAAGAACTACAATTGTGGGAAAACCTTCGAGTGGAAGTCCTCCAGAGCTAATCGCCCCACACCAGAGCCCGAATAGTGCTAAACGACATGAAGAAAGTATCCTACGACAAGAACATAGAAGCCTACTTAACAAGGCTCGAAATGCTCAATGTTCATAGACAAATGAAAGGACCCAGTTGGGGGCAACAAGTAGAGAGTAAACTCCCACACTCCATTCTCCTCCGAATGTCGTATGAAGAAGTCGATAGCGATCCGGATTGGATCAATCGACTACGGGCCATGGGACAAAAGGATGAAGAGTACAACAAGTAACAACGCCTTGCTAGTGGAAGCTCTACGACAAATACTCTTAAGGGAAAAAAAGTGGGCGGGGACCGGCCTAGAAACCCGAAAGGCAAGGCCAAAACATGGTCCCCACCAAAAAGGGATACGAAGGGCAAGTGGAAGCCCACGACAACGGGAACAGTAACGACGAAGCGAGTTCACACCGACTGGAAGTCAGCACACGACGGAATTCCACAAGGTTTAATCGACTCACGGCGTAAAGAAAATGGCTGCACACGCTGTGGACTCACTAATCATAAGTGAGGAGATTGTCGAAAGGCCGCCACAGTA